GGGGGGGTTGTAAGTACAAGTACTCACATCCGCTTTATTGGGCGCTATGCCTCCGCCAAGGAACAGCCCGTGGGCCTGTGGTATCTGCGATGCCTGGGGAAGGACCGGGGGCCCCTGTCCAACCTGACGGGGGAAGGGTGGAGGCCGGCCGGGATGGCGCCAAGGGTTGTCGCTGCACCACTCGCTCAGTTCACTGTGAACCATCGGGAGAAAAGGGTGCTCTAAAGGGAGGCACATCAACGAGAAAGAACTCTCAAGGCTTAAAGTGGGCTGACCGAGAGATGTCTGCGATGGACTTCTTGTCCATCGAGTCGTTTGTCCATATGCGAGGTCCCGCGCTGTCCTGCTAGGACTGCCGGACTTCGCTGTCGGGAGAGGCGACGGAACGCATAGACGGCATAGCTCCCAGTTCGACCAAAGGCAAAACCGCTACCACCGCTACTGCCAACGCCGCCTTCTACACGTGCCACCACCCCAGACAAGCTTCCCCAAACAATGAAAAAATGAAAAATGCAACGACGCAACAAGTTGTAATCTAAATCGACTCTGTGGTGGGGAACTGGGGAACTCGCACCGTTTTGAGCTGCACCCAAGGCCCGAAGGGTCGGAGTCGGAGAGTCTCGCGTCCGCGCGATGTGACCGGGAGCTCCTTGTGAAAAGGTTCGTTGGTGTCAAGCCTTAGGCAGTCCCGCAAAGCAGAAGTGCTGCCTGGATTGCCTAACCGACCAGTCACAGGCGCTTGCCACGGGCATGCGCAGATGCGAAGACATATTCGAAAAGCCAATGTGGCATGTGATAGTGCGTTGACAATGGTCTATGACGTCACCGACTGAATCAGCTGTTTATGTCCAAACATTATTGTGTTTACATTCTTTGCACTGGAAGGAAGGGGATATTTCCATTCTTTCATTGATTGATGAATTATCGGTTTAGTTTTTCTGGAAATGAAATTTCTTGTTCTCAGGGCGCCAAAAGAAACATTAGATGAAGTTGACCCATACATTGATCAATTTCAAAAGGCTGGTTTGGATGCTGAAGGACTGGATGTACTTTCTTTTCAATTCATAAATCAGCACATTTTGCGTGAGAAAGTTCTTCATCCTGAAAATCTGGGTGGTATGATTAATCTTGTTATTTTTGTCATTCAATAATCTAATTCAAGCTTGGTACTTACGTATGTTAACTATTGTTGTTTTTGTTTTAGGTTTTATTTTTACGAGCCCTAGAGGTGTCGTATCTGTTGCCCAGTGCTTTGAGGGTGATGATATTGACTCACAGGCATGGTCTGTTTTACCCTCATATGTGGTTGGGGAAGGTACAGCTAAAGTTTTGTGGGAAAAATTGGCATTGCCAAGCGTTGGACATGAATCTGGCAGTGCTGTTGAATTAGCTGATTATATTTGCAGTGGTAGAACCAATTATTTTCTCACTTTCTTGTATTTTAGTTACAGCATGTACCTAATTTTGCCGTGGAACTTGCTCTTTTTTTATTACAGTTCATAAAGACAAAACATCAAAGCCTTTGCTTTTCCCCAGCGCTGAACTTAAGCGCAACACATTGTTAGATTCTTTGACCAATACTGGAATTGCTGTTGACTGTGTAACAGCTTATAAGACTGTTCCTCATCCACAGTTAAGTAGCCTCTTAAAGGATAAATTTGAAAGAAGTTTTCCAAAACCTGACTGCTTAGTGTTTTTTAGTCCTTCAGGAGTAAATGCCACTTTGATTGCTCTTCAAGATATCAGTGTCAACCTTGAAATTTTAAAAGTAAGCCATCAAAGTTTTCTCAGTAAAAATCAGGTATAATTTTTTAAAGATGTGACTTTTATTTATGTATTGATGTGTAATTATTTTTATTTTATTATAGATGGTAGCTATTGGGCCAACCACTGAAGCAGCAATTAAAGAGCATGGACTTTCTGTCTTTGCTACAGCAAAAAAGCCATCTCCTGCAGGATTACTTGAAGCCATTAATAATGCAAGATTAGGCTCACATCACTTTACAACTAACTAATGTGGTGATCTGCCTATTATTGTGTGAATTGAAAGTGATCCAGATTTCTTTGGATAGGTAAATAAAGTGCCACAATTTTGAGCTTGGAGGGTGTGAACAAATCAATATAATCTCTTTCTTTAGTACAACAATCCTACATACTAGCCATAACAATGCTTTTTCTATAAATACTCAACTTTTGGAACATTTTAAGACAATTTTTTTGATAAATCTTCCAACTATAGATAGATATATTATATATACAGTTATTTCCCAACAGAAGGAGCATCATCCTCTTAACAAAATACCAGAATGAACCCAACCTTTATCACACAAGATAACATAGGGCAATGCCTCTTAATAAGTCAGTTTTGGTGTTCACTCGCCAGTGTTCAAATATGGTCATAGTGCATAAACAGCATCATGTTATATGTTAATAAAAATTAGTTGCTATACAGTTGTTAGTACTTTATGCTTCTCATTAAATTAGTTACACCATAATGGTACTCAAAGAAGTCTGTGCGCCCATGACATAAATGAAAAATATTCATTGCCTAGTTGTTTTCCTCTTTGTCAGGTGCTGCAGTCTTCTCCTTTGGTCCTGGAGTAAGTTTGAAATTCATGAGATTGAGCAGCTTAATTAGGGAAAAAAAGTGCTACCAGTATCCCCAACAATGTAGAAATTTAAACTACAGCATCAAAATCACGTCCAGTGAGTGTGCTACTACAGCAAAAAGTTAACATGTAAAATTCTTTTAACCAAACACGATTGAATAAAAAACTTTTCTGCAAACGATACGGATAATGTACCACATCATGTACATCATGAGACAATACAACAACAACGCACATTTGATAAATCTTCCTTGAAATTCAAAAAATTGAAGGTATCATACATTTTACCAACATTTGAATGGAAACCTCTCAAAGAAATCTAACATTGTCATCACTGACGCTCTGCCTTGACTCTAAGAACAAGATCTAAAATAGTGAGTTTGTAAAAATCTGGCTGAATATTGTTATATCAAACAAAAGAGAAGTAGATTTTTTTTGCAATTATATTTTTATGTGTGTGATATATAACAGTCAGTACATTGAATGGTTCAAAAATAAACTTTCTCTTAAAGAGCCTTCTACTTTCATAAATCAAAAGCACCACTCACCCAAACTATCCTCTAAACCGCTCAAAAACTAAGATAACCTGCAGTACAAAACCATACAAGCAAGAAAAGTAGACCACTAATCTAAAGGAAAAGTCACCTCTGGACCGCATATTGATCAACCATAACAATGCATCAAACCAACTTTAGCAACACATTGAACGGGCCACTGAAAAATAAAAAGGAGAGAGAAAGAAACAATTTAATATGATAAGGTATATACGATCTAAGATTAAAGATTAGACTAGATTATCCTCTTAAGTGGCCAGAATAAAATTATTTCAAGGCCAGGCATTAAGGGATTAGAAAACAAATAGCTGGAAGGGTAACAACAATAATGATGATAAGAAAATGATAACACCATTTGCTAACCATTCTACAAGCGATTTCTCCATAAATGTGCAACTGTTAAAAACAGAAAGCAGTTACCTATTTAAGAAATTAGAAAATGACCATAGATAAAACAGGTATGCGGATTTTCTAATGCTATTGTAATTTGATATTGTTCAGAAACGTAAAGCTTTACCAAAACCCTAGAATATTAACAAAAATTATTTTAGCTCAACTATAAATGTATACAGTTGAAAATTTCAATACATACATACATACATACATACATACATACATACATACATACATACATACATACATAGACTTGTAGACTCAATTAAAAGGTAGAAAGAAAATAATGAAAATACGAAAAAGCAGGAGAAAACTATAGTAAATCTTGAGAGGGGTTCAACAAAGCATCTTGACTCAAATTTGAGTGGAGCATGTTTTAACCGGGGAAGGAAGTAGAGCAGGTAAAAGCATAAGCTTTTGACTAGAATGAAATGTTATACAATACAGCCAAACAATAAGCAATACAAATTTTGAATCATTTGCCAATTTGTCGGGGAACAATATGACAACTTTAAAATACTCAAACTGAGCACACACAAGAAAAAAACAAAAAACGAGCAAGTAACAATATTTAAACCAGGTACTTTTTCTAACAAGAACTAACCAATGACACGCTGTGTACATTCATTTCCTCAGTACAGAAAAATCTCACATTAGATTGCTGAAAGCAAAACATTCTGGAGTAATTCTCCCTACAAATTTACACATCACAAATTGTAGGAAAGCAACAGAGCATGAGTGTATAAAAGTTACCAGAAGAACTTACATATCACACTTGAGAGTTGTCTGGGAGCCTACTAGCACATTTTCAAAGAATCATTGCTGGTAAATCAATGCCCCCATATTCATAGGCCTTATGTACAGTTGCAACAGACTTAGTAAAACTGCAATTAATTTAGAGACATTAGGGTGTGAAATATTAAATATGTAAAAACTTCAAAAACCTTTTATTTTTTAAAAAGAAAAGGAAAAGAAAAAAAATGATGTTTGCGAAGTTTATAAAGCCTAATTAGTCAAATACAAGAGTTGCTGAGAAAAAAATATCACGCCAAATTTCTTGACAAGACCTATTAGATGTACAAAACAGCATTACCTCTACGGCAGTGTTAGAGCTGTTTAAGGATTGGTTGAGAGCATATGGTGCATTTATGCAGCATACAAAATTGCTCAAAATATTTGCATATTCTGAGCATCAATATACTCTCGATGATTTCCTTATTTCCCCAAATGAACATTGGAAGATACAACAATCCAAAACAAACACAAGAAGAATTGAATATTCAAGAATTGTTAAATCCCAGCAGAATGTCAACAGTAATTTACAGTTTGAAATACCAAGGACATATAAATTTGTGGCTCCAAGAACTCAACAGAGTATAACCGTGCCTAGTAAGTAACTCTTGCAAGATGCCTTGTGCCTTACAGCAAGGCAACAAATTTAATAACAACTCGTTTCACTGCATATTACACAAACAGGAGTTTGACTCCACATCAAAAAGAATTTTTAATGAAGGGACTTGAAATTTCTTTGGTCTGATACAGAATTAAGGACTACTTTTATTTAACTGCTTAATTACTCTGAAAATTAGTTCGTAAGAAAGGAAACATAATCTGATGTGTGAGTATCTACATATTAAGATGTTACTCTTCATCAGAATCCCCTTCACTTGAATAATCTTGGACTGGTACTGGTCTTACAAAAGGTGCACTGGTCATTTGCCTGTCAAAAAGACAAAAACAAGAGTACACAATAAATCTTTGTGATAAAGTCTGTAATTTCAATAAGAGTAAAAAATAGAACATACGCAAGTCGTCTGTAATGGTTAAGCCATTCTTCAACCATCTGTCCAACCAGTATAGGTCGCTTTCTGAGCGTTTGGTGTGCCACAAGAAGACCACTCTCAGTACAGCTTACATCCAACCATTGCCGCATCAATGCTTCTTCATCACCCATCTACAGAAATTGACAGAGGATATTATTAAAACACAGATTTGTTAAATTAAAATCTAATTTTGAATTAAGTACTGTACATTTAAAAATTACCTCATTTTGAGTAAGAAAATGAACTGGCAGCAATTTGCGTTCGCGATCCATGAGAGGAAGAAAGCTTATATCACCACAGTCAGAGGCAATTGCTTGACCAACACTTCCAGTGTCAGGTTCCATTGAGACTAAAGCACAGAAATGGCCGCGAGTGTAGCCCAAAGCAAGTGGGGATCTGGTACAGAAGCTTGGTTCCCATAGTAAGGGCAAATAGACACCTAGGAAAGAAAGGAATGCTTAATATAAATAAAGGTGCTTTCAAATATCAGACTCTTTAAAGAGAGAACACAATATATGTTTAACTAACCTTCAAATCTGGCATAACCAATGTCTTCTCCACGAAAACTTTTCACATATTTAACTCCATAAACAATAATAGGCCTCCTCAAAATATGAGCCAGAGCAAAGATATGCAATTGTTCCAGGGATGACCCTGGCTGGGATGCTAATGAAAGGAGAGAAGCCCAGTCATCCTGCCACTGCGCCTCTTCTAAACTAAAATGAAGAAGTCTTGCTTGCCCAGTTTCATAATCCTTCCAACGGGGATAAAACCTTTAAAAACAAAAAACAAAAAAATAAATAAATTTGAATCACAATTAAGTTGGTTAAGAAATCTAGTTTTCTATCCACTGAGGGACTCCGTAGTATTTTTGCAATACTGTACATAAGTAGTTTTCACAAGCAAAGCAAGGTACTCACACATGTCCACATTGATGTAAACTATCAGCAAGAGCTCTTCTCAAGAGATTGTCTCGATCAAAGACACCCCAAGTTGCTTGCATCAAGGAATCTAAAAGGCAGTCACCAGCAGACCGATTCCATAAAGCATACAACCGGGATCCCAGATGAACTGTCAGTTCTAGGCTCCAATTGATCACTCCAGGCTCTGCTTCCAGAGTAGCTTGTGCTTCATTATCAAGCAATTCCTGCAAGAGCTGGTCCTGTACAGGTGTAGGAAGTTCATCTGTATCTGAAAGATAGAAAACAAAATTATTTCACAAATTCCAATTACTCTATCATACAGGAAAAGTTTGTAAATACCTGGTAAGGTAAATGTAGTAATTTCGGTAACATAATAACAAGGAAAACTGCCTTTTCTCTGCCGTAGTGTGGTTGCAACATGCCTTCGGATGTCAGCAGCAAGGTCAGGTGCTACATAAGATGGAACTCTCTTCATTCCTGAGCCACCACCCTCAATTTGAGACAGAAGTTGGGCCAATAGATCGTCACGATGAAAGCTAGAGTAACAATTTTAACCATTGAAATATGTATCTGTGTTTAGGAACTAGGAAAACTAGTAATTTAATGTTTTCAATATGTGTACCCACCGAATGGCCAGGTGAACAAGAGTGTATCCTACATCAAAAGCAGATGGTCGGTTGAGGAGAGAAACTTCAGAGGCTGTAAGTTGTCTGGCTGGGTCACCTCCTGCTGCTAGATATGCTTCAACTGGGTTAGGATCACCATCAACCACACCCATACAAGCAGCTAGCCATCCCCAGCTTGCTTGACGCCGCAATTGTCGAAGACGTCTTTCATATTCACAATTATTCAACTGTGTTTGTATAACACTTTCATTGCTACCCTCAACTATTCTTGACACTGATAAACTAAAAGCAAAATACACAATTTTGGTTAAGAAATAATTTCTGTTTAAATTGACGATTGTTAAGATAAAAATAATTACCTTCTTAAAGCATTTGCAAGATCATCTTGGGGAGAACTACGGCCATTCTCATTCACACTTGGAGATGCTCTTGGGGAATTTCTTGGAGACAGACGAGGAGAAGTGCGACATGGGTTTGAAGTATTGTTTGGTGCAGCATTATTACACATCACACATCTTTGTGCTTTTGGCCAGTTCTCGTATGTGCAAATAGAGCACGACCATTTGTATCCATTAAGAAGAGAGGCTAAAGACAATCATTTCAGCATTTTCAATGATTTTATAAAAGTACAGAAGAAAGTAATAGTTATATATAAAAATGTTAGAAACACACCAGCTCTGTCGCTTGGTGAAGGAGAGCTTGCACAAATACGAACAGATGCAGCTTCACATTGTTCCCGAGGAGGGGACTCAGGACGGCCAGCAACTGGTACTTCATTTTGAATTACAGCAGCTTTTGATGACTTGGGGGTGTAACACTGGACACATCTTCCTGCTCTCTCCCAATTTAGATATGTGCAAGCTTCACATGACCATTTTCCATTACTTGTGGGACAACTAGAAATATGAATAACAGCTTCAAAGTCTGACTTCATAAAAGTGTACGGTAAGTAATATTAATGAGAATAAAAAATACTGACCTTCTTTCCCTGAGAGGTCCGGAAGCTAAACTTACTCCACCAGTATGGCAAAGTGAGTCTTCTTCATCTTGCAATCGATAAATATCTTCTCCTAAAAGGGGCTTTGCACCTCTGCACATAGTGCATTTTAGAGTTGATGGCCAGTTTTCGTATGTACAATATTCGCATGTCCATTTACATGTGCTACTCATTGCTCACAGATGAAATTATATTGGATCTCCCAAGGTGGGAGTAGAAATGTTCTTTTGAAAAGAACACAGCCAAACTTAGATAATATATACCCTATACACTCGAACTGAGAGTATGATTCCTTAATCTAGCTAGTCCCTTGCGGGGTAAAACATTAAAATAAACTTTGAAAGAATCATCAGATAGTAGTTTCTGACTGACAAACAGAGCATGTATAAGATACATTTAACAAGCTGCTATCTGCTTGCCAAAACATTTCTGTTTTTCCAATTTAGAAAAGTTAGATTTTAAATTATTCAGAAGAAAATATTTAATTTACAGAGTGTCTAATTTGACAGTCTTGGAAATAAATTAAGATGATGCATTCTTTGAGAATATTCAGTGGCAGTGGTATTCTTCTTTATATGGTCATGACAGTCCCCACAGGCCCACAGTCCTGAAACAGATTCATAGATTCAGGAATAATAATGTCATTCATTTACAGTCTTGGTACAATAACAGACACAAGGTGATAACAACATAGTAAACTATACTGAAATATGAGTACATTTTGATAAAACTAATGATGATTCAAATGAAAATACATGTTACATATGCTGTCACTTTGGAATACTAATGCAAATAGAAGACAATAAACAAGACCTACTTTCTTGTCTGAAGATGGAGGTTAGCTTATTATAATCACATATACAGAATGATATATAGACAAAAGCAGTGACTAGGTCGTAAATTTAAGGATGCAATTTAAGAGTAAAAGATAAATTAGTTACTGTTTTCTTTAGTGTCACAAATTGTTTCCCATGTTTATATAGCATCTTGTGATAAAGACAGCTAGAAGATTGTCTGACATCAGGAATCTGATGACACTCAAACTTTTCATTTAAAGTAAAGGATTCAAATTTGATACTCACATTTCACTAGAAGCTCGAAGAGAACGATGTATGAGGTGTCACAATAGAAATCCTCTCCAACAGACAATAAATGAAAGTTGACGAAAAAGCTGGACTACTGAGGGCTGTCCCCTTTCTATTCTGGCAAGGCTGGCATATATAATAACTTCGGATACGCGATAATGCACAAAATCGCGCTTATCAAATTACAGCCAAAACATGGGAATCTGGGGGCTAAGTCGTCCAAAATTAGTAAGTCAGATCCAACTTGACCAATAAAAATACTTAGATGAACAATATTTACGTCATACGATGAAGACTGCCATTTTTAATTTCCACGGTCCCCACGATGCATTTTGCAGACGAGGGAAGGGAAAGACTTTGCGCAACACAGGAAGCCGTGCACGGCCTCGTCACTCCCTTGTGCGCACTCACAAGTGTCGAACCTCAAACCGCCAAACCATGAGCAAACCGCTCAAAACTCAAATGCCCCTTGGGAAAAGAAATAATATTCGACGCATATGTTTTTTTAAAATCTCATTTCACGATATTCCTGGCCAGTCCTTATGATTAACAAGAGGCTGGTGGAAGTGGTGGGGG